TCCATGCAACCTGTACTACGTATATAAACAAAATGATACATTTGATCAATCATTTCACAATTTACATCCATATACAAAAAAATAAATAACTTTAAATGTCAAAGTCCATACAAACCAACTATTGTCCAAACTAAAATAATAATTTCATACAAAATAAATCATACAAAAATCAAAGCCCTTCGTATACAAAAAATACATTTACTACCAAGCAAAATTACCATTTGGCATGGTACAAATTACCATCGTAATCTATACAACGACAAAAGATGATATATGTACCACGACAAAAGATGATATATGTACCACAACAAAAGTTTTCTATAGACCATGACAAAAGGTCATAGATGTACGTCGACATATATGTACCACGACAGAAGGACCACCAAAGAATCCACATTGTGATAAGCGAAAAATTTATGTCATAACTCAAGCTAATGAAAGACTAAGTAGGACTTTTGAGGATGGCCATAAAATATGACAATTTGGGTGGAGTAGGAATATAAAGAAAATACAAACAAAATTTATCAAAAAAAAAACACACAAAATTTATGAAAAGAATGATACAAGACATGAGCAATGTGGAGACCAAATATCTTCATTTATTTATGATGTCTTCAATGTAAATAACCAAACATATACTCATTACTAAAAAGGTCATTGTTGACTTGGCTTATTACTTTTAAATCCTTGTATATATAGAAGATTATTTTGAGATTCTAAGATTATTATAATATTGTAAGATTACTCATTGTAATCTCTAATGCATAATGAAACTTGATAGACAGAGATTTATAACCAAACCACAAATAAGGGCAATAATTTCCCAAACTAGAAACCAACAAAGGATAAACTATATATACTTATACTTGGCCCAATACTAACAATGAAGAAAATGATAAGAGGGATGGAAAATATTTTCGAAATACATTCCATATTGGGCTAACACAATTTTTCTTTATGGCATAAATGTGAAAATTAGATACACGAACTGATAAGAGACGAGCTATGGTAATCTAGTGAACATGGGAGCTTATTGAGAAGTATATTTGGCGATTGCAATAATTGTCGATTATTCTTGAGGAAGCTAAGCTTGTGGCCATTTGATCAGTTTACCTTTTCGTGGTTTACATCGAATATTTTAGCTAGTTTCCATATTATTTCATGCATCTCAGATTTGTTTTAAGACGGCATATCAATTTTATCATCCATCACTTCCTTATGGGAACTCTCTTCTTTTTTAATATTTTATTTTTTATAATTATATTTAATTTTTACTTCCTGTATATCACCAATCAACTTCCTATTTCTAAACTTTCTACATTGGGAAGTAATTCTTGAATACTCAGGTTGCCATTTGGAAAACTTAATTAGTTTTGGAAATGTACATGTACGCTTAAATGGATGGTGCTCCTTTTGTTGTTTTCGATTTTATAATTTATGCTTCTACTGTTTCTTTTATCATTGGTGTTCAGTAGCGAGATTCTATATTGAAGAGGTAAAAACAGACATCTCTATGAACTAGGACCAAGACCAGAGTAGGTTTCTAAATATATCTCATCAAACTAGCTTCCCTAGTGAAGCACAAAAAGGGTTTGATTTCGCGCAATGTTCAACCACAATTAGTTTCAAAGTGTTGATTTAGAAATTCATCAAAAAGTGTTTTACAGCTAAAAATAAATAAAAATCAAAATTTGAAAATCAAATTGATATATTGAAATATCAAAAATGAAACAAAATGCATACTTTGGGAATTGACAACATATTTAACCCTAAATAATATCTTGGAATCAAACATCTTATTATTTTCAATGCTGTCAACATATTATTTCTGCTGCATTCATCATCATCTAGTGCAACACTTTTTCATGTTTAGGGTAAACAAAAGAAGAAGAAAAATTTGTTCACAAAACAAAAACATGTTATTATATATATATGTGTTCTTCTTTTTTAGATGGAAAAAAATAAATAAATAAATAAAGAACAAGTATATTTTTATTTTTATTTTTCCTCATATCCACTTTGGGCTTAAGCTGGATGGCAACCAGCAAGCAAAGTTAGAGCATTCAAATGCAAGAGAGGGGACTCAAAAACCTAGTGGATTCTATTAAAAAAACAATGGTACGTTGTGAATAAAATCAGGTTTCTCTATGTATAACACACATAAATCTGAGGTTAACTAAGTCTCCTAATCAACCTTATGTATTCCTCTACTTCACTTATATTCTGTGAAATGACTGAAGGGTTTTTTTTTTCCCCCCTTCATGTTTTAATAAATATTATTACAACACAATAATACTCACGTCATAAAAAATTACAGGACACAAACTCGATACCTTATGTAGTGTAGGTTGAATGATCCAGCTGCTGTTGAGTGACAATAGGCGTAGTGATTGAATCACTTACATATGTAGACAAAACATTATATATAATCAGTTTGGTTGCTGAGAAAATTGAAAAAAAGAAAGGACAGATTCTTCATAATCATTTTGTCTCACTGGTTCTACAAAATATAAGGATAAAAATAAAATTCACCCATATCTATAGGAAATTACTATAAACATCTGCATATATCCACCCATAAAATTCACCCATAAACATCTGTAGGATAAAAATAAAATTCACCCATAAGCATTTGCATATATATATTTACACAGCATTATATATATATATATATATACGCATTCCACAATCTACATTATATATACACATACATTCACTTGCATATACATACACACACATTCATGTTTGAAATTTATCATAAATTACAGCCCCAAACACTAAATTTTGAATAAACCCTAAAGCAACAATGTAAGAAAATGGGGAAACAAAGCAGGAGAGATAGGGAGAGAGAAAGAGACAAATAGAGACAGAGATAGAGAGAGACTGTTTGTGAGAGAGCTAGAGAGAGAGAGAGAAAGAGACGCCTGCAATACGTGTACAAAGCATTTTATATGCACACACATATATTAAACATCATCTTTCAAATTTTTAATAAATTAAAGGCACATACATTCAAATTTGAATAAACCCTAAACCAATAATGTTAGAAAATGGGGAAATATAGTATATAAGAGAGAGAGACAGAGGAAAAGAGAGACAGAGAGACTGTATAAGAGAGCTCAAGTGATAAAAAGAGAGACGCACGGACAAACCGTGAGCGAAAGTGAGAGTGCGAAAGAGAGAGAGAGAACTTGCGATGTACGGCTATAACGGTAGTGAGTTGTGACAATGGTGATTTGTGCAGAGGGCAGTGGCCGTCGTAATGTCAAAGCTACGGTGAGGGGGATGGTTTTTGTGAGGTTTGGTGAAGGACGGTGTGTGTGTGTTACAAAGTGTGATGTTGTATAACAGAGAGAGGGGCGCGCAGAAATATAGGATTGACGAGTTGAAAATTGAACATTTAGCGACTAATATTTGTTTTTGTCAGCAAAGAAACAAATCTGCCAACGAAATTTTTTTGTAGCCAAAAGGCTACTAAATAGTGACGAAAACAATAGTCACCAAAAGTACTACTTGGCGACTAATTTTAATCTTAGTCTAGAAAAACCAATATTGTTGATTAATTTATTTTTTTGGACATAAAATTTGGACTAACAGCAACCAATTAAAATTTTAGTCGCTAAAAATGGGCTTTTTACCGACTAAATTCAAATTTAGTCGCCAATAAGTAATATTTAGTGACTAAAATATTTTAGTAGCGATATCTTGAACCAACGTCGACAAATTTAAATTTTAGCTGCCAAAAAATGTACTTTCGACGACTAAAATTGGTTTAGTCGCCAAAGGTGCGATTTCTTATAGTGTTTACTGGTTAAAATTGATACATAATCACAAACCAATATTTCTGAGATTTTAGATTTTTCAATACCCATTTTTACACTACAAAATTCAACGTACATTTCGACTATTGGACTTCCATCCAGTAACATTACACAACCACTGTCAAAAACCAGAAACCCGTTGAATACAACAAGAAATTTGGGACCCATAATCACATAACATCACATCAACGCACACTCCACATATCAACACAAGATTGCATACTGACCGACAACAACAAACCAGCAACCCCATTACCCAATTAACATTTTTCTAACAATGTGGATATCCAACACGAAACTCATATCACACACACATCGCAAAAACCCCTTGCAATCTAACCCAATCTTGACAAACCTATAACCTCAACATAACAAACCCTAACATTCAAATTTCCAATATCAAATACATACGGAACAAACATCACTAACCTGTCCACCTTGTCGTCATCTACTACAAAATTGGTTCAATTGTTCGACTTCCAGGTATGCTAGTGTCCACTGCAATTCCTCGTCTGTACAATGTAGGGTTTCACTCTCGAAACGTGACTGCGTTGGACGCCTACTGCTAGCGTCAATCTCTCATCAACATCATATGATTACAACTCCTTATGCATAACCCATCAATTGAACATTACAAAATACAATCTTTCCATTCCTGATAGCATGGGATTCGTTCGCAAAGGAGGGAAACGATAAAAGTCTACAGTGAGCTTGGTGCAAATGTGTAATTTCATCTTACCACGAAATCCCACATTCACCCCTCACTTTGTTCAAACGTATGTTGTTAGCCCATCCTTTTGTGTAAATTCACTTATGATGGGACTTTTGGGTCCAATAAAAAAAAGTTAGGATTAGGCAGTTTACAAATGAGATTCTGAGATTTGTTGGTACTTCTCCCATAATTTTTTCCTTAAATTTTACCCAAAAATAATAATAATAATATATCCCATCAAAATTTTTAAGGGCGTAAACTTATGAAAGTAATTACAGATTAGAAAAATATTTTATTAATGTTAATAATTAATAATTACTAATTAAATTTATAAAAATTTTAATATTTTTTTTATTATTTATTTATTTATTTATTTTTCTGTGTACACTGGATTATCCCCAATTTTTATGCACCGATTTTCAATCATACATACTTTTGGTGCGTACAAATTGAAGCGTTCCACAAATAATTTTGGTGAGTACATACATACTTCTTCCATGAACTCCACTCCATCCAATAGATAAGGTTCAATTCTATTCTATCTCCTACCTCATTCGCAGAACGCTAACCCTACATTGGTTTGGTTGGTAGAATAATGGCGGCGGCAACAACTAGTATGAGTTTGAATTTAGTAGGGGCTTTTAGAGGACTCTCCTTATCTTCAAGCTCATCTTCTTCTTTCTTCAAAGGAGACTTTGGTTCCATCAATCTGTCTCCCAAGGTCTCTGTATCGTTTCCTTTTAAATTTCCATTGACGATTGAGTCCGCGCACAAGAAAGGAGCAGGAAGCACCAAGAACGGTCGAGATTCCAGAGGGAAGAGACTTGGCGTCAAGATTTATGGCGATCAAGTTGCCAAGCCAGGCGCTATCATAATTCGGCAGCGGGGAACCAAGGTATCATATATATGTTTTAATTCAATTGATTTTGCTATATAAGTATGGTTCAGAGATGCACAAAAGGTATTTGATTCGTGTTGTGATTGGTGCTATTTTGCTCTTCTTTACCCTGAATCTTCATTTAATAGAATTGAATTATTGTAAATTTAGAATTTGGAATTAGTAATTTCATTCTTCTTTTTCGTATTATTTGTTCTTATGAATGTCCATCCGCGTATGGAACTATTAGTAGAGGAGAGCTCTGAGACAAAATGTTGTGGAACAAATATGCCATGAAAGATAAGAATACTTAAGAAGTGATGTTTTTAGAGATGATTTAAGTTTATATCTATCAAGTTGCTATGTTTTGATTCCTATTGACATGCACATGAAACAATAACAGCTATCCTGTAATATGCTTCTTGTGTCATTTGAACTTTTCCAAGTAAAATTTGATTTTTATATACCCTGGAAATAACTTTCACATTGCCAGAAATCTGACTTTAAGTCCAGACTCCAATCAATATGAGCTGCAATATTCTCTGCACATCTCATAGCTACTACAACGACCCGTGGTGAGAAACCTGTGATCCTTGTTAATCAGAACTATGATTGCAATTGCTATCTCACATTGGTTTTGCAGTACTGATGTGTTCTGTCAAGTAAATGCTGTTTTGCCTCACTGTTATATGAAAATGGGGGGAAGTGCAGAAACTTATAAAGAAGTTTGTTCTAAAAAGGATTAATCCATTTGGCCCAAAAATAGCTGCCTTTTTGCAATGATAAAGAAAACATGAATAATTGTTCTCTTTTTCCCTATGTCTAATTTTTCTTCCCCATTTGAATATGGGTGAAGGTGTAGCATTCTATAAGTAGAAACATAGAACCTCATAGTTGGTGCTTATGTGCATGATGACCTATGAAATACGGATAGTTCAAATAGAGTGACGTATCCATATCGTATCCGTATCGGATACCGATACTCCTTGGATACTCGCGAATACGTATCGGATATTTATTAAAAGTATCGGATACTTCTTAATTATTTTTTCATTAATTTTGGAGTATCGGATACTTAATTTTGAAGTATCGGATACTCCAAGTCATGTTTACTTGTTTTATGAAATTAGAATTGTAACATTTCTAACATAGTAATATAATATAATATAATTACAAGTATAAATATAAGAATATTTTTCTAATACGTTGTTAAGTTCTTCGATAAGAAGAGTATAGTCAGTTAAATAATAGAATTTATTAAATTGATGTATCTTAATTATTTTATGCATGTCTCCTATAGATACATAGAAAGTAAGAATTAACAAGAGAATATAACAATGGTAAAATTAAATATCAATAAATAAATAAGCAAGTAAACTTGAATACAATATTTTTCACTAGTGTCAAAGGAAAAAGTATAGGGACAAGTTATGAATTGTTCTATTATTGTAATATAAATATATTAAACTTGATATTGAAATAAAATATTTGCAAGATCTATTAAAAATTTAAAAAGTAAACAACCTACTAATTTAAATTAATATAAAATTCTTAAAGGTTAGCATTTTGCATTATAAAATTACATTGTGGTTTCTCAACGTTCTTTAACTTATGTGTAATTCACTATTAATAATTTTAAAAAATATATTTTTCACAAACGTATCCTAGCCGTACCGGTATCCTATTTTTTTAGGTTTTGTCATATCGCCGTATCCGTATCGTGTCGTATCCGTATCTCGTATCCGTATCTATGCTTCTTAGATGATGACAGTGGTGTCCATTGATTACTTTTTCTTTACCGTTGAGTGGCATATGATCTTGGAGCTTGTGCACTTTGGAGCATTGGAATTTGGTGGAATTCACCTTTCTTGAACCGGGAGTTTCTCTTAATTAGTCAGATTAAGGCTGGCAATGATAGAAAAGAACTGGCTTGTGGTGCTTTTTGTTTGGAAGTGAAGGAGTAGGCAACTTGTTAAGATGTTGAGTTTTGACTCTAGAGAGTTAATCTAAAATCCATGGTACTTAAGATCCTTTTTTTTTCGTGGGTTAGTTGTCATCAATTTACTCCCTTTGTATGTGAGCTTTGACACTTTTCTTTGTTGTGGTTGAAGCTTTTAATCCATCAACAAACTTGCAGGAAACAAAATAGGGTAGCTTGAATTGTCTTGGTGCCTAGCTACCCAGATTTGCCTGTTGATGCTTCATGATATTACTGGTGAACAGAGGCTGTAGCATTCGACATCATGCCCCAATTGTAGACTTTTATTTTTTTAATTAAGGGTAAAAATTATGAGATTGCTTGCTTCCCTATGGACAATTGGATTTTAGGATGGTTGTTATCGTTTGTACATCTTGATATAATGGAAGTCACTTGTTATGCAAGTTTGCCATAACCTGGATCTAGTGATGAAAGTGTAACTGGAAAGATTTTGGATAAACCCTATATAATAGGAACATACAGAAGAGCTTGAACATCTTTTTCAGATAATAAACCACATTTGTGAATCTTAAAATTCTTCGTTGTCGAATCAGAAGATCACTAATAAATTATAGAAGCTATGGGGGACTTGGGAGATACTCATCGTTTACATTTCTATATACAAGCTCCCTGCGTCTTGTATCCAATCTAAAACCATCTCATAACCCATTTCACTAAACCTTTTGGCTAACAGTCTCTACTAACTTGTGAGGTGTGCTGGATGTAGAGGCTTTCATTTGGTGATAAAAGGATTGATCTTAAATTTCGCATATATAATCGGATGAGTAAAATGCAGCAGTCTTTTTTTACTATAAAGGACTGCATGATTGTGTACAACATTTTTCTTAATATTTCATAACTAAGTTAGGGGTGACCATTGGTTCAATGGTTAAGACTTGGCCTAAAAACTTTAAGGTTATGGATTCAAGTCTTAATGCCACCACTTTATGCATTATGCTAAAGATTAGGTGTGTACTCAATCTTTCCCTTCTCAAACACATTAATGTGTACTAATTGGGCGTTGTTTTTTTTTTTTTTTCATAACTACGTTCTTTTCCCATGTTAGAAGTTGTCTACTGTGCACTTATTCTATGTTGTTGGTCGTGCATAAGATGTGTTTTTTTATGAAATGTTTTCAAGACACATTTGGGGATTGCGAGTTTCCATGTCAAGATTCACCATAGTGTTGTGTTGGGAATTTTCCAAGAAGTGTTGTCAAAGTGTTTGAAATTAGAAATTTTCATTCTAAGTTTTGCAATGAAGCTGCATACTTACTCGACCTGGCCTTTGTCGAGAAAGTTAATGCAATGGCTGATGCTAGAGTTCTATAAACTCTAAATTCCTCCCTAGAAACACTTACAGTGAAACATACTAATTATGATACTGCCCATTAGTTAATATCTTTGATGGAAAAATTATTGGTTGGTCCTTGGGCATCATGTGGCCATGCCTAAGGTTAGTCACAAACCCCCATGCCCTCTCATATTCTCCAATCACTCCATACAAAATCATAGGTTCCACTCTCTCTACCAATCACAATACATGTGGAGCGCCACATGGCGCTGCCCCTGGACCAACCACTAACTTCTCTCTTTGATGACCTTAAATATTCTTCTCTCTCCATGACATTTGCAGTTCCATCCTGGGAACAATGTTGGGCTTGGCAAGGACCACACTATCTTCTCCTTGATCGATGGATTGGTCAAATTTGAGAAGTTTGGACCTGACAGGAAAAAGGTTTAACTTTGAAGTTCTACAAATTTTCAGTTTGTGCTTCAGACAACTAGGGATGTCAGACTAACACAAATTATGTGTAATCAACAGGTAAGTGTTTATCCACGTGAAGTGCAACCTGAAAACCCTAACAGTTATAGAGCAAGGAAGAGGGAATCTTTCAGACTACAGCGTGAGCGCAGGAAAGCAAGAAAGGAAGGCATTGTTGTTGAACCCGTTCTAGTACTGGCTTCAGCCACAGAGGATACAAACAATCCGATTGGCTGATCTTATTACTAAATTTCTTGCATCCAAGTTTGTAATTTCTGTCATTATTTTGTTATAGTTCTTGCTGGGAAGACCAGAAGCTAACTTCTCACTCCCAAATCTGAAATTTCCGGTTAGTTATCTAAAGCAGGTTCACCATTTCCATTGACAAAAAGGTGTGAACGATGATTTTTTTTTTTTGTTTTGGAAATTTCAAATTCTAATTATTTCTTACCCGTCATATAAAAGGGGTTTTTACTTCATTTTACAAAAGTTCAACTTAATTCATGGACTCAAATCCCAGGGTGGTCCCTTGACCGCATAGTTTCACGGATAGTGGGATTTTGCATGGTTGTTTTGGAAATTAAGGTGCCGTTTGCACTTACGTTTTTTATTTATATTTATAAAAATTTAAAAAATTTGAATAAAAATTTGTTTGGTAAAATTTTTGATTTATAAATCAGTGATCGCAATTTATAAATTTGGCCAAAAAATGAAAACACAAAAAATGTGTTTTCATTTTGAGTTTTCAATTTTTTTTTTTTTTACCACCCAAGACTAGCCATCACCCGCCACCATTTTCCACCACCGTCTTCCGCCACCACCACCCACTCCCCACCACTACCGTCTTCCGTTGCCACCACCACCCACCCCCTACCACCACTTGCCATCACCACTCACCACCCACCACCCGTCACCACCACCCACCCATTACCACCCACCTGCTACCCACTCGCCACCACCATTCACCCATCGTCGCCACGCACAACCACTACCACCCACCTCCACCCGCCATCACCCGCCACTACCACCACCGCCCGCCACCTACTTGCCACCACCACTCACCACCCACCGGCCACCACCAGTCACCGCCACCCACCTGCCACCACCCACTACTACCACCACCACCACCCACGCGCTACACACCTACCACCCGCCACCGTCACCCACCCACCACCACCCGCCACCACCCGTCACCTGCCACCATGACTCCCTGCCACTACCACCACCACCCACCAACCCACTTGCTACACTCATCACTCCTAACGTCACCCACCACCCACCACCACCCACCATCACCACCCACCACCCATACCGCCACCACCCACCCATCCCGCACCCACCCATCGTCACCCACCACCCACTACCCCACCCTTACCTACCCGCCCTACCACTCGCTACCAACCGCCACCGTCACCTATGACACTCACGCCACACCACCACTACCACCACCACCCACCACCAGCAGCTACCCACCACCCACCGTCATCACTTTCCACCACCGTCTTCCGCCGTCACTTGCCACCACTTGCTATTTCTCACTCTTTTTTATATTTTTAAATTTTTTTAAACGTTTTGTCAATTACCAAACGCATTTGTAGTTATGTTTTTCTAAAAATAAACAAAAATCAGTTTATAAAATTTTTGTAAATATAAACTGAATACGTAAACGTTACCAAACGCACCTAAGTATTTTAATTACATTTTTAGTTTTTTGGGAAAAGACAAAAAAAAAAAAATAGAGAAAAGCTTTTTAGTAATGACTTTTTGATTAAAATAATTTATTGTCAAATTTGCCCAATCTTCAAGGATGTCTTTTTTACGGTGTTTGGAAAGTGAGTTTTTATGTAGATTTTATTAGATGTAGGTTTTTATGAGATAAAAAATTTTTGGTGTTTAGGAAGATAGTTGGGTTTTTATGTGGTTGGATGTGATGTTTGTGAGAGAAAAAGTGAAATGATTATGGGGTTGGATGTGATATTTTGTTTGGATGTGTTTTTTTTTATTTTGCAAAACTTTTATCTTTTAGTGGAAAAAATAAGAAAAAAATTTAAAAACTTGCTTGGTGGGAGAGGACTTGTGGATGCAAAAACTTGGGGATTTGGGGCGACTATTGTGCACCCGCACAGCAGTCACTATTGTGCATTTAAATAGGTCTATTTCAGAGTTTATTTTGATAATTCAAATTGTTCACATTTTAAAATACATTAAGTAAAAAATATTTGTAAAAAATTAAATTAATTAGATATCATTTACCCATTCATTCATTCACATTTACATTTACAAACTAAATAACAATTGTGATTTAAAGTATTAAAATGAATACAAATGTGAGTGAATAAAAAAGTAAACAATATCCGATTAACTCAATTTTTTATAAATATATTCTACTTGATAGATATATTATAAAATGTAAATAGTTTAAATTATCAAAATAAATCCCGAAATGAACCCATTAGATTACACAACAGTGCTGTTGTGAACCCTGCACGCGGATAATAGGTCAACCATTAGGCTGAATAGTTTTTGAAATTGAATTTTGTTAATGTTCTTAAGACACATGTTGAGATGTATAAAACGCTTGCACGTTTCTAAAGAAAGGACCTAAACATCCAACAATACGTCCATTAAGGCACCGTTTGGGAAGAAGTTGATTGGGCTTCAAAAAATAAAATAGGCTATTTTAACCATAACAAACAAAACATCACATCCAACCCATCACAAAAAAAGTCAAAAAGCCAAAAAATCCTTCCCAAACCAAGCTTTTTAGCCCAGGCTAAAATAGCCAAAAAAATCAAAAAGCTAAAAAGCCAACTCACTTCCCAAACGGAGGCTAGGCATGTGAGTACTGTGTCAATATTTTGATAATTTTTTTAGTCTCTAGCTTTAACAAATGGCACTGTTGATCTGTCCAATGTAGAGGTCCAGTAATTAGATTAACTCAACAGCATACTCCACAAGTCAAATATTATCCTCCTAAAAATGTTTTAAAACGCAAAAAACCAAAAAAAAAAAACGCACGAACTTCATGCTGAATCCAAGACTGTTTTGATACAGCAGCCTAACAAAAACAACATGAGACTACCAATAGATTCAACTGACATCACCACAAAACAGTAAAGGGGGAAAAAAAAATTGTTTGGCACTAGAACGCTACTGAAAACAAAGTATTTAATTGGTAATGCATCTGTTGAAAAGGATCCTACAAAACTTAAATCATTCTCTTCTCTTTGTGGTTTGCACCCTATTGCCAACTGCCACTTTCATGCACTCACATTTGCACCTGACCTGCAGATATTTAAAAAGAAATCAGTAAATCCAAGATAATCAAAAGTTCAGAACCTACATATAAAGCAAAATGTGTCAAGCTGGCAAACAGTAAATAAAGCAATAAAGAAATAAAATAGGGGATAAAAATTCCGTTTCAGTTGAACAGAATAGAAATACAACTAAGTTTGAGCTTTAAAATTAATGAGCTCCAAAATGTGTCAAGCTTAGCTTGTTTGGATCAAGAGTTGGTCTTGAACAAGCTTTTAGTGAGCTTATGAATTGAGTTCAAGTAACCTGGTTGGTTTTAGAGCCCTACACACAAATCTATCCTACAATAGGTTCAAGCCTAAAATATTCATTTTTTTTTTAGGTGAGCTCATTGGATTCTTACAAAATTTGCTCAAATACACCCAATATACACAAGCTCAAATCATCCCCCAAATCATGTAAAGGTTGTAAAGCCAAATTACTATTCCCAATGAGGAAAATTATGGAACACCAGTTATAAGCACAAAACATAGCACAACATAGGAGTCAGTGATACAAGAGAGGAGTGGATAAAAAGGGGAAGAGTTTTCTGATTTGTTTGCAGAAAAAAAGAAAAAAAAAGAGGTAACACTAATCAGTTTATTCTTTTTCACACTCATCATTTTAAAACTAATAAAGGAGGATTGTAGCATGCAGAGCAAAATGGCAAAAAATAATTCATGTACTGAGCGAAATGGCCAAAAAAAAAAAACAAGATTAATTCATATACCTGGCCCTAAACAGTTTAGTGAAGGCTTGAGTTGAGTATAAAACTGGTTCATAAGAATGAATCCCATAAGAGCAAAACATATACATTTGCAAGAAGCTAATACAATAGGGACTAACTGAAAGATGCCCGCTGCATAGTTATAAAACCAAGATGGACTCATTTTCCTTGATTCACGAAAGAAATAGTAAGACTTTCATAAGACAAATGTCAATTTCCCAAATATAATGCATTAATGACAACATGATACTTTTTTTTTTCAACCCAAAAATTAAAGATAAAATGCAAAAGCATTTCATTAATTAAAATACGTGCACACATTTGAGACTGTATGTTGACTGGTTTCACAATTATATCTCTAAATCTCATCAGCATCAACTTCTAGAGCATTTCATGTGAGAAAAGTTCAAATTAAATCCAAACAAAACTTCTAAAACTTACAGAGTCCAAGATTTCGAAAAAAATCCATTAGCTATAAAGTACAGGTACTCCAAAAATGTTGCCGTACAAGTACCGGGTGCGGGTGCGGGTACCGGATAAGCCAAAAACACACCGGGTATGTTTCATATGGTCAGTATACTAATGGGTATGCCATGGGTACACCATGGGTACGTTTTTGGGTACTCCGGGGTAAAAAATGAGATTTTTTATAAATTAAAGGGTACCGGAGCAATTTTGTGTGTTTATTTTAAAGAATTATAAAAATCTGGGGTTCTTTTGTAATAAATAAAACATGAAACCAAATAAAATTAGGGTTCTTTATTCTCTTTATCATTCGATCATCTCAGCTCCTTCCATATCTCATTCCAAAATACTCCAAGACTGAAGAACTTCGAAGGTGCTAGAGTTCTATGTCTATTCGATCATCTCCTTCCAGAAATACTCCCAAGAGAGTCCGAAGAACACTTTGAAGGTGCGATTGAAAGATTTAATCGAAGGTGCTGCTGATTCATTCTCTTCTTCGAAGGTGCGATTGAAAAGGTAAGTCCATCTTCGATTCTTTCCCCTTTTCTTCTTCAATTCTTTATCCTCTTTCTTTCATTTTTTTTTCTAGATTTTTGTGCTGTTTCTTCGCTGCAAACGATGGATTCTTCTCTTCTCTTTGGTTTTCTCTTTCTTTGATCCTTCATATTCTTCTTCATTTTTCTTGAACTCCCTTTTTTTTCCCCCCCTGATATATGTCATATATATATGCAATATGATATTGGTTGTAAAGCTTGATGACAAATTAAAATCCCTTGACACTTTAAATTCTCTTTCATAGTAGTTTATTTTGAGGGGGAGGGATGGGGGTTTTGTAACTGAAAAACAGAGCATTAATTTGTAATGCATAACCATTGGTTTTGAGTTAAGTTATCTGTCTGTTTCCACATTGGTTAATTTCCTTGCAATGCTTGATGTTGTGGGTGGATATGATTGGTTATTGTTTCATTGTCTTTCATGATCTAAAATTAAGAGATACTTTGTAGGTCAATATGGGAATCAGATTGAAAGGTGTTGTAGTGTCCTTGTTCTTGTCATACTTGTCACTGAAATATATATTTTATTCAATATATGCAATATATTAGATCTGTCCAAATTGATATTTAAATATTTGATGAGCAGAAAGAACAATTTTTAAAATAAATTATGATCACAGATTCACAGTGCATAACATGTCAAAGTGAGATTTCACAAATATTATTTTTAATGCTTAATGGTTTTAAATTATAGGAAAATGAGTTCATCAAGCAGTTCAGGTTCATCTACAAGTGCTTCTTCCGCTCCTTCCATTGATCAATCTGGACATGAAAATGCTCCTCTTTGGGGCTATGTTACAAAATTAGTCAAAAGGGGAAAAGAAGGAAGTGGTAATACAAAATTTAAGTGTAATTTTTGTAACATTGAGTTCCAAGGATCATATTCTAGAGTTAGAGCCCATTTGTTGCTACTTACTGGCCATGGAATTAGAGCGTGTGCAATTGTGAAGGACAAAAGTGATCTTCTTTATGAAATTCAAAAGACAGATCAAGAAGCTGAGAACCGAAAAAAGATGGCAAAGCCAAAAAATGTTCCTTTACCACCTCCATCTTCTCAAATTAGTACTAGCCACGACGGCGTAGATGTTGGAACATTTAGAATGGAAGGTTATGCACCAAGAAAGAGAAAGGTAATTGGGAGTAGTCATTTAGATAAGGCATTCAATCAAAGTGCTAGAGAACATTTACATTCATTAATTGCTCGTATGTTCTATTCAGCTGGTTTGCCTTTCCATTTGGCTAGGAATCCATACTTTGTGAATGCTTTTCAATATGCTGCTGAGAATCAAATTGTTGGGTATGTCCCTCCTGGATATAATTTGTTGAGGACTACTTTACTTCAAAAAGAAAGGGCAAATACTGAAAGGTTATTGGAACCAACTAAAAAGTCATGGGATGAGAAGGGGTTCAGTATAGTATCTGATCGATAAACTGATGCACAAAGGAGGCCTCTTATTAATTTTATGGCAGCATCTAATGGTGGAGCTATGTTTATAAAAGTTGTTAATTGTGAGGGTGAGACCAAGGACAAGTATCATATTGCCAAATTAATTAGTCAAGTGATTGATGAAGTGGGCCCTAATAATGTAATTCAAGTAATTACTGACAATGCTCCTGTTTGCAGTGCAGCTGGATCAATTATTCAAGGTTATTATCCGAAGATCATTTGGACACCTTGTGCAGTGCACACTCTTAATCTTGCTCTTAAGAACATTTGTGCTGCGAAGGAAATTAGAGTTGCTGCATATGCTTATAATGAATGCCATTGGATCACTACTGTGATTGATGATGTAATGTTTGTGAAAAATTTCATCATGAATCATTCTATGAGATTAGCTATTTTTAATGAGTTTGTACCTTTGAAGCTACTTTATGTTGAAGATACACGCTTTGCATCTGCAATTGTTATGCTAAAAAGATTTAAACTTATATATCATGGTCTCCACACAATGGTTATAAGTGAGAAATGGGCTCCTTACAAGGAAGAAGATGTTGGGAAAGCAGCTCTTGTAAAGGAAAAGTTGTTGAATGATATTTGGTGGGATAAGATTGACTATATACTCTCATTCACATTGCCTATTTATAAGATGCTTAGATTTTGTGACACCAATAAGCCATGTCTACATTTGGTTTATGAGATGTGGGATTCAATGATTGAACGAGTGAAGGCATCCATCTATAGGCGTGAAGGGAAGTCAGAAAATGAAGAGTCGTCCTTTTACTCTGTAGTGCATCAAATATTAGTGGAAAGGTGGACAAAAAATAGAACACCTCTTCATTGTCTTGCTTATTTTTTGAATCCAAGGTATAATTCACATTAGACTCATAGTTTATACTTTAATTTTTTTTCATTGTATAATTTACTTATTATTTTTTTTCTAATTATGAAATCTAGGTATTATAAGGGGATGTGGCTTCATGAAAATCCCATTTGTGTTCCTCCTCACAAAGATATTGAAATTTCTGAGATGAGAATCAAGTATTTTAAGAGATACTTTCCTGATTCAGATGAGAGAAGGGTTGTTAATACAGAGTATGCTAAGTTTTTAGGTTGTTTAGAAAGTTTTGAAGACTCTAATTCAATTTGTGATAAAGGAGTAATAGAACCAGTGGTTTAGTGGTTGGCACATGACTCTTCTGCACCTATGCTCCAATCCTTGCCAGTGAAATTACTTGGCCAACCATGTTCCTCATCATGTTGTGAAAGGAATTGGAGCACCTACTCTTTCATTCACTCTATGAGGAGGAATAAAATGACACCACAACGGTGCGAGGATTTGGTTTTTGTGCACTCCAATATCAATTTGTGATAAAGGAGTAATAGAAACAATGGTTTAGTGGTTGGCACATGACTCTTCTGCACCTATGCTCCAATCCTTGCCAGCTATGAAGCACGGACACGGACACGCATACGGACACGGACACGGACACGGACACGGGACACGGCAATTTCTAAAAAATGAGGACACGGACACGGCAGGAGACACGGCAAATTTTTTAATTTTTTTATAATTACTTTTATTTTAATGCACATTAATTATTTTATTTATTTATTATATATTTTAAATAATTGTGTTTCAATTAAATTTTTTATTTATTTTACATACATGTGTTTATTTTTTTATTACTATGTATAAATATATATTATCTATAAGTATATTATATAATAGGCAGTATATATTATTATATATATATGAATCAATTATATTTTATATATTATCTATAAGTATATAATAGGTATTATATAATATTATATATATATATATATATATGAATCGCGAAGATAAAGAAAGGGAGAGGAGAGAGAGAGAGAGAGAGAGAGAGCGATCGCGAGAGACACAAAAGCACAAAAGCGAGAGAGAGGGGGACCACCGATCGTGATCAGCGAGAGAGAGGAGCCCAGCGATTGCGCGATCGCGATCAGCGAGAGAGAGGAGCCCAGCGATTGCGCGATCGCGATCAGCGAGAGAGAGGGAGACAGAAGCGATCGCGATCGCGATCGCAAGGGAGGGAGAGAGAGAGAAGGCGAGAGAAAGAGAGCTCTGCAAATGCGAAGCCGAAGGCGAGAGAGAAGCTCTGAGTTAAAGTGGACTGGATCGTCGAAATGGACTGGATGGAGGTCGATTGGCTCGAGATCGAAGGCTGAGAAGTCGCTGACCAGGTTTGTACTCACTTTCTCTTTCATTTACTCTTCTCCCGTGTCCCATGGCGTGTCCAGATTTGGACACGCGTGTCTCTGCCGTGTCTCCGCCGTGTCCCTCGCAAAAAAATTAATTAAATTAAGGGGACACGCCAGATGCCGTGTCCCGTACGTGTCCCCGGCGTGTCCCCGTATCCGACACCGCCACGGTTTCCATTTTGGCGTGTCCATGCTTCATAGCTTGCCAGTGAAATTACTTGGCCAATCATGTTCCTCATCATGTTGTGAAAGGAATTGGAGCACCTACTCTTTCATTCACTCTATGAGGACTAAAATGACACCACAATGGTGCGAGGATTTGGTTTTTGTGCACTCCAATATTCGCCTCTTATCAAGGAGGAGTTAACTATACACAGAAGAAGAGACCAAGTTATGGAATATTAGGGGAGATGCATTTGATTCATTGGAGGGTTCTGCTTTCCTTGAAATTACAAATCTTTCACTTGATGAGCCAGAGATGGAAGCTATTTTATTCAATGATGAAGTTGATGGAAGTGAACTTTAAAGTGTCAAGTTTAGATACATAGGACTTTCTTTTGTTTTTTCCTTTGCTTGCATTATGGACTGAATTGGCCTTGTTTTTCCTTTGTTTGGATTATGGACTGAATTTGCATTGTTTTTCCTCTGGTGATAGCGTTGTTGAATTGAAATATATTAATATTTGTCTTTTAGTTTTGTAGTTCTTTTTTTATTTTTGATATTTAATTTTAATTTGTAGGTTGGATCCTTTAACCATAATTATAAAAAATATAAAAATATCGGCGTACCGCAGCCGTAACCGTGTCATACCTTTTTGGGATTTTTCCGCATCGGCATACCCGCACTCATACTCATACTCGTACTCATACCCGCACCCGCACCCGCACCCGCACCCGCACCCGCACCCATGCTTCCTAGTCCGTTAGCATATAGTTATTACAAGTTTGTCTCTTTACTAACAATTTGCAAATGTAAAGCAACACTATCCTCAAAATTGTCACAAAATTAAGGCATTCATTATACAATAATGTTTGGGAGCTCTAATTTGAGAGTTTTGATAGAGCTCTAATGGTGTCCCACATGGTGATGTGACGTTTTGGCTTGTGTAATTTTTTTTTTTTTTTTTGCCACATCACTAGAGCTCATATTAGAGCTCTAGTTTTAGAACTCTCTATCATTACCCTTCATTATATATATTGATAATCATTCAATTCTAGCATAAAGACATAAAAAATAACAAAATTGAAACGTTTGTTTGTTCTAGTTAAGTCTTGAACACTATGATTTGTCTAAACTGAAACTTACATGTATTATTGATCCATTCATCAACTGAATACCATACCATAGTATTGAAAAAGAACCACAGCAAAATAAGAACACAAATATAATTAAACGATCAAATCTGCAATTCAATTCCTAAATCCACATATATTCAAAATAGCTAGTTGTCTAGGAAGTGAAATTGAGCTAGTAATTCATACTAAACAACAGAATTCAGGTACATCATGAATCGCATGTTTATGAAAGCAAAACTAGAGGAATCCGCACTCTAATTCCATATCCAAGGCATAGATTCCGTGCTCCCAAACACATCGTAATGGTAATTGACAGCATGCCAAGACTAATGATGCAGAATAATCAAATACAGAAAACAAAAAATATCACCTCAACCAGATCCGACGATGATGTTGTTAATGGGTATGAAGATCAGCTTCACGAAGAAGCCTACGAATCCCATCACCACGAATCCAATCGCTGTACGGACCGCGACCTTAGTGAATTCTACACACACAAAAAGACAAACAACAAACAGTAAGCCAGATCAGATTAAATCAGATCGTTAAACAAACAAGAGAAGAGCAATAGTATCAGATCGAATCCGCAAAATGGAGATAGAATCGAGAGATTGTTGTGGTTTTACCTTTGCGATCGGGCTTGTGGCATCTCTTGACGAGACGAACGCTGTCCTTCGCGAACTCCCTCAATGGATCGAATACAGAATCCAAGGCATCCATTATCTCTGCGTATGTAGAGAGAAAATTCCACTACAACGAGAGGCATTGCTGTAGTTGGTCGGCTACCTGATCGACTATCAACAGGCATTGCTGTTGCAGATATTGATTTTTCGTTGATCAATTCAGTTAGAGCACGCATTTGGGCCAAAAGATCCTCGTATTTATTTTTTATATTGGGGGCCCAAGTTGCTTCATTGCTTGTTCTCTTGGGGCATTGGGCTTTGGGTCGTTGAGGAATTAAGACCTGGGCTTCTTTTTTAAAATTGAAAAAAAGAAAAGAAAAAATATATATATTAAACATTTTTCACTTAGGCCAAGTTTAGGAAGATTAAAAAAGTGTATTTTTTGTCTTTTTAGACTAAAAAATTGAGGTTAAAAATATGGATGTTTGGGTTAACTTTTTGACTTTTTATTGAAAAATGTGTAATAAAAAAGTGTAAAAATTGATTTGTAGGAAAAAATTTGAATTGAGAGTTGTGCAGCCGTAATTGTTGACTTTTGATGAATAGACTTTTGGTGAATAGTGTTAACTTTTTAGCTTTTTGAGTAACTTTTTGACTTTTTGACTTTTTTGGATCTTCCCAAACTTGGCCTTATTTTAAACTAATTTTTTTAAAGGATACGAGAAATCAAGAGATGTTATCAGTCCCAAAAACAACGTTTTGAAAAAAAAAAATAAATAAATAAATAATTTGTTTAAGTAATCATGCAGTGATTCAAAATTGATCAAACAACATAAATAATTATATTAATCTTGTTTATTCTATATCTTATGGGTTGATTAGCTTCCGCATAAGACCTTTTCAACAATGAAGAATTAATTAATTATTGATTGGTTTCACAACCTCATGCCAGTTATGTATATTAAACATTTTCACTTATTTTAAACTAATTTTTTTAAAGGATACAAGAAATCAAGAGATGTTATCAGTCCCAAAAAACAACCTTTTGAATAAATAAATAAATAAATTTGTATAAGTAATCATGCAGTGGTTCAAAATTGATCAAATAACATAAATAATTATATTAATCTTGTTTATTCTATATCTTCTGGGTTGATTAGCTTCCGCATAAGACCTTTTCAACAATGAAGAATTAATTAATTATTGATTGGTTTCACAACCTCATTCAGTTGCAATTTTGTTGTACAACTGTCATGAAGATTATTAAAAAAATTCTTTCTAACGATATGATTTAAATAAATATATTTTTTAATTTTTTATGAAAAGATATACAAAAAAAGTAGAGAAATGATAGGATCTAAAAAAGATAAAAAGATTAAAAAAAAAAAATACGCCAATATCCAACACGCTAAACAAATTCTGAATATATTATTTTGTTTTCAAGTGTGAATAACAAATTTATCATCTTATAGCACGCGTGAGAAAATAACGTAACAAGCGAAATCAAACTGTTCAATCCATATCGAACACAAGCTGCTGAGACCTAGGAATATTTTATTTTATTATTAATTAATAAAGACCCACAAACTATACGTCTTTATCAAACTTAGTGGTCGGCTTTTAAATAAGTTATTAATCCTTTTATTTGGTGCTTATTTAATCCAAATACATAAAAAGTTGAACGGCAATGCTATATATCATTAAAAATGGTGCTCTAAAGCATCACTAGCGTACATACTTTAAAAAAAAAAAAAAAAACTATGGCAGTGAGTGGGCTCCACTGCCACTAATTAGTGGTCTCAATCATTTTTCAAAATTGAATAACATAGGTCCCGTTTGAAAAGTGAAATTTTAGCATTTTTTAAGTTAAAATTTATAAAAAGACAAAATAAATAAAAGTGAAATTTTAGCATTTTTTAAGTTAAAATTTATAAAAAGACAAAATAAATAAAATGTCACATCAATTCCATAATCATTTTATTTTTTTTCTCACAAACATCACATCCAACTATAAAAAAATTCAATCATCTTCCAAATATAAAATTTTAACCTACTAAAATAACTAAAAACTAAAATAACCTATTAAAATAACAACTTTCCAAACACCCACATAATTAAGATAATACCTTTCCTCAGTATCACTGAAGGACCCATAATTGTGATTGGCTACCCTAAGAATTTTTCTTCTTCTTTCCCATGCAATGTTATCAAGTGGTCCTGTTCAATAAAGAAGGGGTTAAAATAATTTTAGTTATATAGATAACTTGTAATGCTAAAGATGTTTTTAAATTTAAAATTGTATCTTTCTTTGAATTTTAAAATGTTTTATAATGTACAATTATGAACCAAATCGTATTTCATGACATTGACTCTATAAATATGAATATTCAAACTCGGCAATAAAATAAGAGCAATTTACGCCTTAAAAATAATATTTGCAACATATATCAAAATCTCATATCAATCTAGTTTTTTTTTTTATTTTTTATTTTATATCTAAATGATGAAATTCCCCAACAATATGATAATCCTAATTACTACTTTAATTTCGAATGGTCAACAAAGTTGAGTGTCCACATATACCACATAGAAGCTATCAAAGCTGTGAACTCCAAAGCTTTTTTATTTTAATAATTATTTTAAGGAAAATGAGTGAGAGCATTAATTAGTGCTATCATTAAAGATGTGGCAGTGGGCCCCACCATAAATGATTTGATGTTTTGGCCTTGGTGTTGTATTTTTTTCTTTTTTTATTGAGTGTCATGTCATTAGTGGTCTTTTTAGAGCTCCAAAATTAGTAGTCTCTATCATTGTTATTATTTTAAATCGGAAGTGTTGCGTGCATCTCATCTAGATCTGGTCATTTTCAAAATGAAGTAATAAAAGGTTAATTCTAGAAATGGCATTAAAAAAAAACCAAAAACACTACGCTAGCTAGCAATCCTGACTGTGCAATGAAAAAATAAAACAATATTGGTAACCTAACTTCACATGGCCATAAACATTTTGACCGATCATATGAACCTAATATGCTCAAATAATACATTTTTTTAATTTTTAATTCAAAAAATATTTACATTTTTCACTTATTTTTAAAAGAAATTTTCATTTATTCCCTGTAACACGCAAAACAATCATTTCGGTAACTCTACTATTCGCTTTGGCAACACCTCCCTATCACACTCTCCTCCCCTGCAACTCACCAAACATGATTTATTTTTCTTATTTTTTATTTTATGTATTAATATTAAATTTGTTTTATGAAAAAATGAATTGAAAACTGGCAATGCTACCAAATACAACCTAAAATTCCTTGTGCTTTATCTGTTTTGAACTATTGTTAATTTGGTGGAAAGTTGAACTGTTGTGAAGAGTCTAGGCCTCTGTTTGGGAAGAAAAAGCCCAGGTTTTTTTGGCTAAAATAGCCACAAAAAACAAAATAGGCTATTTTAGCCACAAAAAATAAAACATCAAATACAACCCATAATCATTACAATCTTCTCTCACAAAAAAAGTCAAAAAAGTCAAAAAGCCAAAAAGCCCTTCCCAAACCAGGCTAAAATAGCCCAGGCTAAAATAGCCAAAAAGTCAAAAAGCCAAAAAGCCAACCCACTTCCCAAACGGAGGCTAGGTACGTGGGTTCTCATTTGAAACATCACAGGCCTCAATAGGGAATAAGGTTTGGATAGTCTATTGTGAAATACTTGCATTGCTTGACTTTGTCGTGATCTATTTTAGTCTATCTTTTTATCTCTTTTAGATCACATCAATTAATATCTACTCTTTACTTTTTTACATCTCTTTTTATAAAAAATTAAAAAATACATTTATTTAGAACTTCCTAAATTTATAGATGAGCAAGCAATATTCCCTAGGTAGAGAGAGCCGTTGGAGTTGTTGGAGCTGTAGATCTGTTCATGTGTCATTTTCACTTTCCTGAATTGAACACCATTCACTTCGAGAGAGAGAGAGAGAGAGAGAAGTGCCTCAAGGCGTTGAGCATCTGCACTGTAATCTACAACACATACCAATAAATTTAGCCACCCAAAAAAAAAAATTAAAATTAAAATCACAAATTTATATCTATATTATATATTAAGCAAAATGAGATTTTTAATCCCAAGGTCTGTGGGAGTTTCAATATCTCAATCTGAATTTTCTAAATTTCTTATTAAAAAAAAAAATTCAGCATTTATTGATTTGGTCAAAATCACCGATCAGCATTTATTAACTTTTTTCAATCCAGATGTCTTTCTACATGCCTGCATTTATTGATTTGGTCAAAATCTCCTTATCAGCATTTAAAAAATCACAAATTTATATCTATATTATATATTAAGCAAAATGAGATTTTTAATCTCAAGACCTGTGGGAGTTTCAATATCTCAATCTGAATTTTTTAAATTTCTTATTAAAAAAAAAAATTCAGCATTTATTGATTTGGTCAAAATCACCGATCAGCATTTATTAACTTTTTTCAATCCAGATGTCTTTCTACATGCCTGCATTTATTGATTTGGTCAAAATCTCCTTATCAGCATTTAAAATCTCCTCATACAAATAATTATAGATACGTGTATAGTTACTGCAGTACCATTTTCAACTTCTTCCATACATTATGGTTAGTGATAAGATTGTTAAATTATTTTTATAAAAAATCTTAAAAAACATAATTTATATATTAATAAAAATCTAAAATAAATATAAATATCTATAATTATCTCGTGCATAGCACGGGTAATAGACTAGTCTATACTATATATTAAGTAAAAAGGGATTTTTAACCCCAAGCCTTGTGGGAGCTCCAATCTTCCAATCTAAATTTCTTGATTTTTTTATTTAAAAAAAATAATCTTAGCATTTATTAACTTCTCCCAACTCCCAAGTCTTACAATCATAATAACACTTTAATGCATTAAGAACAAGCAGAAAAAAAAATTCTTTGAAATCCAACACATATGAATTTCTTAAAAAGTTCCAACACATATGATTATTATCTCTCATAATAACACTTTAATACATTAAGAACAAGCAGAAAAAAAAATTCTTTGAAATCCAACACATATGAATTCCTTAAAAAGTTCTAACACATATGATTATTATCTCTCATAATAACACTTTAATGCATTAAGAACAAGTATAAAAAAAATTTCTTGAAAAGTCCAATACATATGATTATTATCAAAATATTAAACTTTAATATCATATAATAAAAAAAAGACATTTAATTCCTTGAAAATTTCAACACATATTATTATTATCAAAATATTAAACTTTAATATAATATAAAAAAATGAAAAAAAAAGACATTTAAAAAAAAATTAAAAATCACATTTCACATATATAGATAATTGTAAACGCAATCCGTGCATAGCACGGGTGATATGCTAGTATTACATAAGGAAAAATGGAATTTCTAACCCACAAACTTTGTGAGAGTTTCAATATCCCAATCCTAATTTTCTAATTTTTTGATTTAAAAAAAATAAATAACTTTAACATTTATTGACTCCTCCCAACTCATAAAACTTTTTGACTTCTCTCATAATTATTACAGCATCCTTTTCAACTTTCCTCATACACTATGGTTAGTGATGGGATTGCTAAATTATTTTTATAAAAAAATGTAAAAAAAAATAATTTGTATATAAAAAAAATCTAAAACAAATATAAATATCTATGTCTATCTGTATATTATATAAGAAAAATGAGGTTTTTAATGATAAACCTCCTAAGAGCTCTAAACTCTCATTCTAAAATTATTGATTTTTTAATTTATAAAATAGATTACAAAAAACCTATTGGCTAATTTATTTACTTAATTATTTTAGAAATAATAATGAGAAGATAACAAAAATATTTCATAATCTCTCCATTATAATCTTTCTCACCAATTTTCAAAAAAAAAATATTAAAATTTGCATTCATTTTCTCTCCTCCAAAAAATAGATAAAATAAATAAATTTGATTTTTATTTATTCAGTTAAAATATTTCTTTTGCCTCTCAATATCCAATTTTAAAATTTAAAAATCTATAAAGTTTATCTAAACAAATCTAATTTGAAAATATCCCTCACTATCATATTTTAAATCAGTAAAACTCACATATCTATCACATATTTAACTCGCATTATAACTTACCTAAATAATAATAATTAAAAACAAATAGAAACCATAGATAAATTAAATTAAAAAAAAAAACAAATAGAAACCCACAACTCCATCTAAAATAAATTAAAAAATAAATAAATAAATAGAAACCACACAAAAATAAAGAAGATAAGAATTTAGATATAGATCTCAAAAAGATATAATAATATCTAAATTTGAATTATAATTTAATAATATAATTATCTATTTTTTTGATGTATATCTATCAAAATTTTAAATCACTTAATGAAACAAATTAATCAATTTTGTAAAATTATTAATTTTTCAATTTATAAAATAGATTTTTTTTAAAAAACTATTGATTGATTTATTTATTTAATTATTTTAGAAATAATAATGATCCTTTAATTTATGAATTTTAAATGGAAAGATAAAAAAAATATATTTCATAATCTCTCTCACCGATTTCCAAAAAAAAATATTAAAACTTGCATTCATTCCCTTTTTCCTAAAAAATCGGATAATATTTTTCATGAAAGTTATAGATATCTATCTATATCTTATATATTATATTATAACATAAAAAAATAACTAAAAATTAGATATACAAACTGATAAAATTAATAAATTTGATTTTTATTTATTTAGGTAAAATATTTCTTTTGATCTCAATTTTCAATCTATATCTATATATATATATATACTATATATTAAGCAAAAGGAGTTTTTAACTCCCAAAGCCTGTGGGAGTTTCAATATCTCAATATAAATTTTCTAAATTTTCTAAATTTTTTATTAAAAAAAAAAACTCAGCATTTATTGATTTGGTCAAAATTCCCTGATCAGCATTTATTAACTTTTTTCAATTCACATGTCTTTCCACATGCCTATATTTATTGATTTGGTTAAAATCCCCTGATCAACATTTATTAACTTTTTTCAATTCACATGTCTTTCCACATGCCTGTATTTATTGATTTGGTCAAAATCCCCTGATCAACATTTAAAATTCCCTCATACAAATAATTATAGATACAATCCGTGTATAGTTACTGTAGTATTTTTTTCAATTTCTTCCATACACTATAGTTAGTGATAAGATTGTTAAATTATTTTTATAAAAAATCTTAAAAAACATAATTTATATATTAAAGAAAATCTAAAACAAATATAAATAACTATAATTATCTCGTGCATAACACAAGTGACAGGCTAGTATCTATACTATATATTAAGCAAAAGGGGATTTTTAACCTCAAGTCTTGTGGGAGCTCCAATCTCTCAATCTAATTTTCCTGATTTTTTGATTTAGAAAAAAAAAATCTTAACATTTATTAATTTCTTCCAATCTCCAAGTTTTACCCTCATAATAACATTTTAATGTATTAAGAACAAGCATAAAAAAAAAAATCTTTAAAATCCAACACATGAATTCCTTAAAAAGTTCCAACACATGTGATTATTATCCCTCATAATAACACTTTAATGCATTAAGAACAAGTATAAAAAAAAATTCTTGAAAAGTCCAACACATATTATTATTATCAAAATATTAAACTTTAATATAATATAAAAAAGGAAAAAAAGAAGACATTTAAAAAAAAAAGACATTTAAAAATCGCAATTCACATATATCCTAATCTTAATTTTCTAATTTTTTTATTTTTAAAAAAAAAAATCAGCATTTGTTAATTTCTCCTAATCCCCATGCCTTTTGGGAGATTTGGTCAAAACCCCTTCATAATTAAACTTTAATGCATTAAAGACCAGCATAAACAAAATTTTTTGAAAATTTCAACACATCTATCTATCTATATTATATTATCTATATCTATATCTACATCTATCTATCTATATCTATATCTATATCTATATCTATACTTCTATCTATACTATATATTAAACAAAAGGAGATTTTTAACCCCAAGTCTTGTGGAAGTTCCAATCTCTCAATTTAATTTTTCTGATTTTTTAATTTAGAAAAAAAAACCTTAGCATTTATTAACTTCTCCCAACCCTCAAGTTTTACCCTCATAATAACATTTTAACGCATTAAAAATAGGCATAAAAAAAAAATTCTTTAAAATCCAAAAAATATGAATTTCTTAAAAAGTTCCAACACATATGATTATTATCCTTCATAATAACACTTTAATGCATTAAGAACAAGTATAAAAAAAAATTCTTGAAAAGTCCAACACATATGATTATTATCAAAATATTAAGCTTTAATATAATATGATAAAAAAAAGATATTTAATTTCTTAAAAAGTCTAACACATATGATTATTATCAAAATATTAAACTTTAATATAATATAAAAAAGGAAAAAAAAGAAGACATTTAAAAAAAAAAAAGACATTTAAAAATCGCAATTCACATATATAGATAATTATAAATACAATTATCTAAGGAAAATGAGATCCAATATCCTAATCTTAATTTTCTAATTTTTTTATTTAAAAAAAAAAAAACTCAGCATTTGTTAATTTCTCCTAATCCCCATGCCTTTTGGGAGATTTGGTAAAAACCCCTTCATAATTAAATTTTAATTCATTAAAGACCAGCATAAACAAAATTTTTTGAAAATTTCAACACATCTATCTATCTATATTATATTATCTATATCTATATCTACATCTATCTATCTATATCTATACTTCTATACTATTTATTAAGTAAAAGAAGGTTTTTAACCCCAAGGCCTGTGGAAGCTTCAATATCCAAATCTGATTTTTTAAAATTTTTTATTAAAAAAAAAACTCTGCATTTATTAATTTGGTCAAAATTCTTTGATTAGTATTTATTAACTTTTTTCAATCCACATGTCTTTCCACATGCCTACATTTATTGATTTGCTCAAAATCCTCTGATCAACAT